GCTAGTATATATATATATATATACTAGCCGAATGACCCGGGCAACGCCCGGGTTTTACCCGATTAAATGTTTTTATTTAAATACTATTCGTTACAATTATAAATTGGCGGCGTGGATGTCATTCTTGTGAAACGTCCCGCTCCAAACTTTGTGTCTGAGAAGCGATATTTTTATAGAAAGATGATCTGGCTTTTGTTTTCTGCTCGAATGAAAGTTTTTCTGTTAGAATTTTGTTCCTGCGTACAAAATAATGAGCTGGTTTCACCCGTGGTCTCTGATTTTTGGAATTTTTCCCGATATAATTTTGTATCTGATAATCTTACATGATACAGCAATATCGTCATCATCATTTTCTGTCTAATAATATATAGTTTTAATAATTGATTTATATATTTTTAAAATAGCCTATCGTCTTCCCCGTATTTTTTTACCTATGTATGGAAATTTTGGTTTGAATTAGTGAACTACCGCGAATTTGTATACCGGACATACAAACCAACAAACAAACATACAAACATTCATTTATATATATATATATAGAATATATAATATAAATGAGTTTTAAAAATTGTTTTAAAAAAATGCATCGGCCGGGAATCGAACCCTGGTCGCCCGCGTGGCAGGCGAGCATTCTACCACTGAACCACTGATGCTTTTAAAAATGGCCATATTTAGGTATTCATTCCATTCCGGATTAGTCCGCGTAAAAAAAGTTCTTCAAATGAAAAAAGAAATAGCCAAAAATACTAATCAAAATGCAGCCGAATATTTTCCTCAGGTTTATAAAAAGCGACATGCCAAATTTGGTACCAATTGGTTCAGTAGTTTTTGAGTTTATCGCGAAACAGACAGACACACAGAAATTGACTTTTATATATATATAAGAGATATATATGTTGTAACCCCCGAGTGAGCCGACGTGTGAATGAATTGTGCAGCCGTAGTCGTGGGGCAAGAGTGGTGAGGTTCTTTCTACACATAGACAACAAGAAGCAGAGACAGGGCTAGATGTTAGCACCAAGCAGGTCGGAGACAGCCCACAGGACAAAGGTGGAGGCCATGGGTGCATACCGGAATGCCCGACTCCTGGGCAAAGGAGCGGAAGCGAGAGTGACCGGCGTAAAAAGGACACTTGCTATTACTAATCTCTTAGCTGACCCTGGACGGCAGGGAGATAATTTTTATTGGCTGAAAACCCCGGGGAGGGGATGACCAGCCTGGACTCATGTGAATGATCGGCGCCCATGACCTTGAAAACTTTTCCACATAGCGACGTCTTCAAACCCCACTCTTTGGCTGTTTTTATTGAGATGTCATCATTTTGAAGTTGGATACAATTTGGAAAGACAATTAATGAGAGGGGAACCTATTGAATATTTATAGTATCTTACATTTGAGATTAAAACAAACCTATCTCAGGTATGATCTTAACATACAGTATAAAAATAAGGATGATACAGATTATATTACTAAAGTTATGGCATATCATACGAGTCTACATAATGCTGATTGGCTGATCATGTAACAGTAGGTAACCAATCAATCAGATTGGAAAGAACAGTTTCCGAACTAATAGACAGATATCTTAGAAATTAAAAAATAAACAATTTCTACTGCTCTTACTGCAATGGAAAAATTAATGGGAAGGCCTGGCTCATCAGTGGTGAACCATCGCAGTGGTTTTGCCAGTTTAATCTACCATACCGCTGTTATATTGCATTTTTGGAACTTCCTTTTATAGTGATACTGTTACAAGACTCTTGGAATGGGTATTTTAGATGAACTATGGACATAAGCTTTGAGGACAGTAGAATTACATATAATTATAAATATATAAATAGACAGACATATTATTAATATAATTTTTATTAAATTTACATAATATATAAAATCATATTTACATACTTTTTCCAAGTTTATTCAATATGTTAATAGGTACATTAGCAAATCTTAACACTTTACATAGATATCAGAGAAATTGTGTACAAAAATAGAGATATATGGATTTCAAACAACACATTTTCCTTGGTAATACAGTAGAACTACCTCCCTGTTAGGACACCTAATTGCAGAGCCAAAGTATTCTTTAGGGAGAGAGGTGTCCTCTTACTGGAGAGTTGCTAAATTGTAAAAATGGTAATTTTGACAATGAAAACTGTTCTTTATAGAAAGGTGTCCTCTAGCGCGAGTATCCTCTCTTGAAGGTTCTACTGTACAAGGTAATAAGACCAAATCCAAATAAATAGTGTGTGACATTTCAGTAACAGAATTGTTACCAAAACATCATACACTTTTTATTTATTTGAATTTGGTCTTATTTTTAACCTTGTAGCAGGACATGTTTAAACCTGGTCCCTCCTGGAGGTAGTCTTTTATCAGAAACTCTCTTTCAGTTCAAATATTCTTCATTAGGGTTGGTGGAAGGATGGTCTAAACCATTGGTTTTCACCATTGGTACGACCCGGGATCGAAATCTGCATTGGCCACTTTCTTCTAATTAAAAAAAAAAAAAAGATCCAATGGCTCCCGATTCTTGCAAAAGTCCAACCCCACCAGTGAATACAAGTAACCAAACAGGGCTCTGGCACATTTGTAAGTGCAAAAGTCTAACTGCTTTTCACATGTGTAGACATGTGGTGAACTTACAGTAAAAGCAGTCACTAACTACCCACCATGATTATCATGGCCTGTACCATGTGTGCTAGGGATAATTTTTAAAATATACTCCTCATGACTTGTTTTGACATGGCATGAGTTTCAGATAAAAGACCACCCCCCAGGAGAGACCAGTATAGCCATGTTTTTAGAGTATGGTCTCTCATAGGACAATTATCTGATATGTCAGATTCAAAATTGGAGATTTAGATTGCTGTGGCATCTTCTGTTGTTGTTGTCCATCAAGTTGAGTTTAGATGACTATATGGACAATATTCTCCAATTTGTTCTGTTAGTGACCCCTTTATTCACATTTCATCACGTTAGTGGAAGGATGGTCTAAACCGTTAGTTTTCAACCGCTACGACCCGGATTCAATTCCCGCATTGGCACTTCTTTCTGATTAAAAAAAAATACTCCAATGGCCCCCAATTCTTGCAAAAGTCCAACCCTACCAGCGAGTTCAAGTAACTAAACTGGGCTCTGGCACATTTTTAAGTGTAAAGTCAAACTGCTTTTCACATGTGCACTTACAGTAAAAGCAGTCACCTACTTCTACACACCATGATTATCCTGCTCTGTACCATGTGTACTAAGGATAAACAAAAAAAAAAAAACATTTCATCTCACAGTACCATCTTTTTCTTTACATAAACTGTCACAACTGCAGATGAGAGAGTTCCATAAATAAATATTCAAAGGAAAACAAAATATGTATACAGTAGAACCTCCTACAATCTGCCAAAATATATAAACAAAATCAAGAGTTATGGGTTTACTTAGTTACTTACTAAGTTATTACTTAATTGGGAATCCAATCTAAGACTCAAAAAAGAAGGCCCTCTCCACCTGGCCAAAAGAAATGGATTTTTAAAATATAAAGTAGAAAAAAATTATTTAGCAGAAAAAAATTCTCCATGCGAACCACTACAAAATGTTATTTTTAATGCCTCTTTAAATGAACCCACCAACAAACAATGCCAAAATCCAGAATACTTAAAACAATTATCATTAGAAATAATTAATAACATTCCTAAAAATGCAATAACTATTTATACCGATGGTAGCAGAGACGAGCTAGGACACACTGGCAGTGGCTGTCTCATCAAAACCACAAATAGCATTGAGAAAATGAACAGAAGAAACCCAGATTTTTGCTCAGTCTTCAGATCAGAACTTATAGCCATCTATGAAGCCTTAAAATCCATCAGAAATACTAATTATCAAGATATCTGGATTCTTACTGATAGTAGAAGTGCCATACAACACTTGAGTCACACAGGGGAACTCAGAGACAAAGTAAGCAGGAACATAATTGGCTATCTCCAAAAACTCTCAAAAACCTCAAAAATTCACCTTCAATGGATACCCTCGCATGTTGGAATTGAAGGCAATGAAGCTGCTGATGTGCTAGCGAAAAAAGGCACAAAAGAACCCTTGCCACAGAAAAATAAACTTACTTTTAAAGAAATAGAAACAGTAGTCAAAACAAAAATAAACAAGAACTGGAGGATCCCACCTATGCACAGTTGGTACAGTGGAGTGAACCCAGGAGGAGCTCTGAACATCAGAAATATACAGCATCAAACAACACTAACAAGATTTAGAACAGGCCATCTCAAGCCATTGAAGATAGAAAATAATAACAAAATCTACCCCACTTGCCCAAAATGTAGCTTGGCACCTGCAGCTCCAGAACACATTTTGGCTTGCATTAGATGCACTAAACAGGACCTTTGGGAGAGGCCGCTGCTCATCATAAAACAGCTCGAGGAGCATGAACTCATGGAAATCGTGTAATCTTTACACAAGGGGATAAGAAACAACAACAACAGTAGAACCTCCCTTTAGCAAACACACTGCTAGTGGACGCCTCGCTAGAGGACACCTTTCTATAAAGGACAGTTTTCATTTGCAAAATTACCATTTTTACAATTTAGCAACTCTCCAGTAAGAGGACACCCCTTCATAAAGCACATTTTGACTCAGCAATTAGGTGTTGTCCTTTACAAGGATGTACTGTATATACAGTAGTCAGTCTCCTATGAGAGACCATAGACTAAAAACATGTCTATACTGGTCTCTCCTGGAAGTGGTCTCTTACTGGAGACTCATGCCATGTCAGGAATATTTGAACTGAAAGATATCTTCTAATAAGAGACCATCTCCAGGAGAAACCAGGTTTAATCTTGTTTCTGATCTCTCATGGGATACTGTATTCTATATACAGTTACTAGCGTCATGGCCTCTGTCACGGTTTGCCGGCGCCCTCCTATTGGTCGGCTACGATCACGCCACCTTTGCCCCCCCCCCCCCCCCATCATTTGGTGCCGCCAATGCGTGAGACACTTGCTTTTGGTTCAGTGGTAGAATGCTCGCCTTCCACGCGGGCGCCCCGGGTTCGATTCCCGGCAAATGCATTTTTTTTTTTACAATTTTTAAAAACTCATTTATATATTATAGTGGCGGGCGCCCCGGGTTCGATTCCCGGCAGATGCATTTTTTTTTTACAATTCTTAAAACTCATTTATATATTATACAAGAATGACATCCACGTCGCCAATATATAATTGTAACGAATAGTATTTTAATAAAAGCATTTAATCGGGTAAACCCCGGGTGTTGCCCGAGTCTATCGGCTAGTATATACATAAAACTGAAGTTTGTGTGCCTGCATAACTCCACTAAAATGGTAAATTTATCAACAGTTCCAACTGCCATTAGTCACAATTACCAGCAGTCGTAATTATCAAAAGTCCCAATTAACTGCAGTCACAATTATCAACAGTTTCTAATTATCAGCAATCACAATTACCATGGTTTTTAATAAGACCAAATCCAAATAAATAAATAGTGTGTGACATTTCGGTAACAACGTTGTTACAGAAACGTCACACACTATATTTTTATTTATTTGAATTTCGTCTTATCACCTTGTGTTTATAATCTATGATCCAAATTGTACCTTATCAATACCAATTTAAAAGATTCACAAATTAACATGAATAAACTTGATTTTAAGAGTCATTTTTCCTTTCCCTAGTTCCACTTAAACACAGTTGGCTGTAATAAACCTTTGTATTCACTGGAGTTTTTAGACAAGAAATAGCAATTGGAATCATTAGATGGACATTTGGTGGTTTCAGTAATGTTACAACAGAGGTCTTGGTCACAAGAATATTTCTAGAAAATGAAAAGAGATTAGAGAAAAATAGGAAGAACATTAGGAACAATATTATGAGCTATGTAGCAGATAGGAGTTATGTAGTAGATTATTATTCTATGAAAATATATTTTAATTTTGATATTTGTATTTTGATACACAAAAATATTTTCTCATTGCCTCTGTTATTTTATTATTTTTTATTTATTTTTACAATATATTGATGTTTTGAAATAGAGCAATCCATACTTAATTCATTAGATAATAAAAGGCATATATTGGATTTAAAAATATATTTATTTTGCCAATATTTCGGCTGGCTGAACGCCAACCTTTATCGAGGCATTACATTTTTGTATACACAAACTCAGCGCCGCATAGTGTTATAATATCACAGTTGAAATCAATTAAAATACAGAGTAGGTGGGAGAAATTTGTGAATGTAAAAAATAATTATTATAAAAAATTGCAATCAAAATGTAAAATATATTAAAATATTAACGGAAAAATATGGGTTCTATCTTTATATTTTAAAATGTTTTTAAAAAGTACATAAAAATAATGTAAAAATATATGTATCTATTAAAACATTTGAAAATGAATTTAAAATGATTTAAACAATAAACTGTAAGAACTTTTTAAAAAGGTTTAACAAAAAATGTGGGTATTTAAAAATTCATTTCAAAATTGATGGAGATCGATTTAAATGTAAGTAAAAAATATTTTATAAAAATGCATTGAAATGGAAGTTAAAGCAATTTAGGAAGAATATATGAGAAAAAAATAGAATAAAAAGTGGAAACTAAAAAGTTTAAAGTATTTCATGTAATAAGTTATATATTTAATGTATCAATACTTTTGTGTATTAAAGCGATAAATGTAAAAATAATTAAACAAGTGGTATGTATTAATTACAGGTAATAACTAATGTGTGAAAAAAATAATTTAAGAAATCGCGGGTATTACCCTTTTAGTTTCCACTTTTTATTCTATTTTTTTCTCATATATTCTTCCTAAATTGCTTTAACTTCCATTTCAATGCATTTTTATAAAATATTTTTTACTTACATTTAAATCGATCTCCATCAATTTTGAAATGAATTTTTAAATACCCACATTTTTTGTTAAACCTTTTTAAAAAGTTCTTACAGTTTATTGTTTAAATCATTTTAAATTCATTTTCAAATGTTTTAATAGATACATATATTTTTACATTATTTTTATGTACTTTTTAAAAACATTTTAAAATATAAAGATAGAACCCATATTTTTCCGTTAATATTTTAATATATTTTACATTTTGATTGCAATTTTTTATAATAATTATTTTTTACATTCACAAATTTCTCCCACCTACTCTGTATTTTAATTGATTTCAACTGTGATATTATAACACTATGCGGCGCTGAGTTTGTGTATACAAAAATGTAATGCCTCGATAAAGGTTGGCGTTCAGCCAGCCGAAATATTGGCAAAATAAATATATTTTTAAATCCAATATATGCCTTTTATTATCTAATATATTGATGTGTATATAAATTATGAAGTTTGTTTAGTTTTATTCTGAAAATAGGTGGCAGAAGGCGGTGGTGAAGGTAGAGCTACGTCATCGCTGACCAATTAGAGGCCGTCTGGCTGCGCCGCCAGAGGGAGCTCGCCACCTTCTAGAACATTCTAAGGACGTCGCCACTAGAGAACAATTGCCTTTCAGCTGCGGCTCTAATTCTTTTGTAAATTCTTTAAAATATTCATGGCAAAGAGAGTTAAAATAAATTCATTTGTAAAACTTGGGATAATTGCCTGACCAAAGATAAGTACATTTGTTTCTTTAAGCTAGTATAAAACATTCTATTCAATTAAGCCTAACGAGAACAAATTGTTTTGTAAACAATCATTCTGCCTTTCCTCCTTGCGTATTTGCCAAGTGGGAAACAAAACATTGGTGCCGAAAACCGGGAATAAATCTATTAAATAATTATTTAAATATAAATAATTATAATTCATTTTTGAAATATATTATTAAAATTAATAATAGCAAAAATTAAAGATGGCTGCCAAATTTAAAGCTACTTTAAATATTCTTGAATTTCATTTCAAACAAGTGGATTATTTTGAACAAATTTCGCTCAAGATAATTGAATCGAAGGATGATGCAAATTTACAGACATTTAAACAAGATATTTTAGATATAAAATCTAACATTGAAAAAACTTATTGTAATCGTTTAACATTTTCTGAATTTGATGATGAAGTTTACTTTTCTAGAGTTATGCAATACAATGATAATCTTAGAAATTTAGTGGCGAATATCAATAAAGTATCTTGTACAGCCATTTCAAGCAAAATTGATGATCTAAATCAATCAACCACAAATAAAATAGAACTTCCTAAATTTAATTTACCTTCCTTTTCTGGTGATGTTAACGAATGGCTTAGTTTCAAGCAATTGTTTTCTCTGTCTATTGATTCTAATGCCGCTCTAACTGATTCACAAAAGCTGCAATATTTACAATCAGCTCTTACTGGAGACGCTGAACGACTTATTAGGGGATTTCCTGTTATTGATGAAAACTATGCCCATGCTTGGGCCACATTGGTCTCCAGATATGATAACAAAAAAGAACTTGCCTTTTCACAATGTACAAAATTATTCACTTTAAAACCTTTAAAACTAATAAATTCCAAGGCCATTTTTTCGAACTACTAGATATATGTAATGAAGCCATGAGAAATTTGAAGTCACTGGGTTTGGAGAGAAATACACTTGTTGATATCTTTCTAATACATTTCCTACAAAGAAGAATAGGTGATGATTTGAAAAGGCAATGGGAATTGACGTTGATAGATGATGGCTTTCCATCCTACAAAAAATTTATTATGTTTCTTGAAAAACAAGCAAAAAGTTTGCAATCGATAAAAGGTTATGCTAAAGAGGATAAATCTGTAGTGAAACAAACACATGTATATAATTCTTTTTCAAAAGGTGATGATAAATGCCTATTATGCAAAAATTCACATCCTTTATTCAAATGCGACAAGTTCCATAAAAGTTCTCTCCTTGAAAGATGGAACATAGTAAAAACCAATAACCTTTGTTTCAATTGTTTGCGATCCAACCACAGAGTAACATCATGTAAAATCACTATGCATTGTAAATCATGCAACAAAAAACATCACACTCTTTTGCATTCCTTCCAACCCGAACCTTTGAATACCACTTCAATTGAAGCCCCAATTGCCCAATCTAGCGTTTCATGTTTTCTCAGTGATACAACAAAGCCTAATGAGACAATCTTATTATCTACTGCTAACGTGAGATTGAGAGCAGAAAATGGATCGTTTCATCCATGCAGAGCTTTGATTGATACTGGTTCTCAAAGAAGTCTAATAACAGAAAATTGTCGTGAAAAGTTGAATCTTCCTGTTAAAAAGAGCCAACTCACAGTTTTTGGAATTGGTAACCAACCAATACAGCAGTCTGCTAGTGAGACTTTTCTTCAATTTAAGCCTCATTTTTCTGATAGAATATTCAAAATTTCATCCATAATACTCGATCAAATCACTGTTGATTTACCTAATTTTCTGATAAATAGAGATAATTGGCCTCATCTTAAGAATACTTTATTAGCAGATCCCAATTTTGATAAAACAAGTCCCATTGATTTAGTAATTGGTGCAGACCTAGCCCCATTTTTATATACAGGAAAACTGCGATTCCAAAATCATCCAGGACCCTCTGCCTGTAGTTCCAAGTTAGGATGGATACTTTCAGGAAATGTTTCCAGCTCTGAGACTGGAAACAGCTATATCTCATTATGCTCAACATCCCAAGGAGATGATAATCTGCGAAAGTCTTTTGATTTGGAATCGGTTCCTGCCGCTCTTCCATTGACTAAAGAGGAGAAGAGTTGCGGGGACATTTATGACAATAACTTTTGCATATCAACAGATGGAAGATATTCTGTTGGTCTACCGTTTAAATCTGTGCCTAATCTCGGAGACTCACGTCAGAATGCCATGAAACGATTTCTTGCTCTTGAGAGAAAATTGCACAAATCTTCGAATCTTCTTCAGCAATATAAGGATTTCATGATGGAATATCTTTCTCTTAACCACATGGAGCTCATTCCGAAAAAGGAACGTGAAAAACCATCAGACAAGTGCTATTATATACCTCACCATTGCGTTCTGCGTGATCAGAGCAGCACTACTAAATTAAGAGTAGTGTTTGATGCATCGTGCAAAACGAGCAACAGT